CGAATTGAAAGATAGGCTGCTAGCACGACATTAGACTATTAATCGATCTTTCAAATGTTGGAATTCGATGATAATGAAATGGCGCCATGGGTTGGCAATGCATAAAGTCGCAACTGAAGCGATCGTCACAACTACACAGTACGAGATCGAAAATGGAACAATGACGCTGTTCGACGCCTGGTACTAGAGTGACAACAGCAGCAGCAGCAGCAGCAGCAGCAGCAGCAGCAGCAGCAACAATAGCAATGCGATTGTAGTAGATCATGGATAATGATAGTAGAGGAGTGTTACAAGCGATTTCTCATAGCTGCCTAGCGTACATGCCAAATTCATCACCATTTTCATCAATTCATCGCCACACTTTCAGATTCATCACCACATTCATCATTTCATCACGAGTTTCATCACCGGGACTCATTTTCATCACGGACGTGATGAATTCATCACCATTCATCACCGGCTTATTTTTGAAGAAATGACCTATTTGCTACTAAAAGAATTAAGCACCAGTCATCAAAGTAACCAAGATTCAATTTTTGCCGAACCTTCCTGACACCTTTTCGGGTGCACGAAGTCATTTTTTCTCCATCAACTGCCTCCAACCTGCAACCTCCACAATGGCATCACAAGAATCCAGCTACCCAGAACAACACTCAACATCAAGAAGGAGACAATGAGCAGCGAGAAAGAAGCCAAGCCCAAGAAGACTCTATTAGGTTTCCCAAAGCGTCCCAGTCGCCGTGAGAAAAACTCTGCCGACGTTGACTTGGAGAACTATCATGTCCACACATCGCCTGAGGACCAACAGCAGAACTTGTGGAACACGGTGAAGATCCACAGTTCGTCTTCCTCTTCTAGTACCAAAGACCGCGAATGGCCAACCTATGACGCTGTGATTTCCCATGTGACGACACAAGACTATCGAAAGCACTTGACATGTCCCTTTGATACCATGACCGACAAGACCAAGACCATTTGTCCCCATGGCGCTGTCTGCTGTGCTAAAATGGAACTTTTCCCCTTTCCGCAAGGTAAAAGTGACGACGTTACTCCCTACTCGGGCTTGTTGACACCTGGCACGACAGCTGAGCATTGCATGATTCGGTTATCCTCCGCCATTCGGCCTTTGGATCAAGGAGTCGAGTCCGACTTTGCAAGAACTATGGTCCGAAATGCTGTTGGCGAAAAACTGGCCAAGGCCAAGATAGTACCCGGTGCTGCCATTAAAGTCTTTCGTGGAAACAATGTACCTTCTGGCAATCTATTATTTCTCGGCAGTAAAGTGGGACAGCGAGAAGAAGACTTTTTTGCTCATTGTGTCTGTACCACCATGACGGAAAAAATGCCCAGTGTTGCACTCCCCTTTATGAAACGCTTCACACGTTATTCCAAGTTTCCACTTTCCTTGGGAGTGTCAGATTTTGCAAAGTATGACGTGGACGGAAACGATCACTCGGACGGATCACACAACTTTCCCTTTGCCGTAACTCTTCAGCCAGTGTATGAGAGATCCGCGCCAACAACAGCGACAACCACGGAATCATCCACCAACGAAAAGACAAAGGGGGACAAGAAGAAAAAATTCGCCACGTTTGACTCCTTCATTGATGAAGTCACTCATATCCCAGTGGGAACAACTTTGTTTGATATCTACGCATCGCCCGATCCAGAATCCGTCGGAGATCCAACCCGTATTCAAAGAATTGGTCGAATCACAACAACCTCGGAAATGATACCATCTTCCCCCCATGACGGACTTTACTTTCGACATGAGGTCAAGGAACAAGACTATGACTTGCGGCCCGAATGGAAAAAGGGCATTGAGCGGAAAATGGCCATGGACCAGGGAAAAACCAAGGGCACTGTTGGAAAACTAGCAGGGTGGAGACTCTTTGAAGAAGATATTGCCCTGCAAAAGTACGTCGACTTTGGTGCCAGTACCTGAGCAGACACGCCAAACAACAATCCAAAAGCCAGCGCCTTGTAAAATTCAGTCATCTGCGCCAATTGAAGTAGAAAGCGAGCAAGCAAGGTGGGGTAAGGGCGCTGCGTAACAAAAGGCTACAGAAATGTTTACTGTATATAAGTAAAAGCTAGTTGAATCGAATCTCGTTACTTCTTATAGAGTTTGTACATGCCATCGGGGCCACATTCCAGTTTCTCCTGTTTGCAAAGATACTTCAAGAATGTACTCAGCTGCGAGGGCGTCTGGGTAAATTTCACGTCGCTACCCGAAACATACATCTTGAGCATATTGTGGATCTTTTCGAGTGGTAGTTGCCCCAGGTTTGTGAGCATGCCAACAATATAGCTCTCGTAAACTCCCATTTTTTCTTCTTCTTGGGCAAACAAGGACACAGCTTGGCTGTCGCCGTGATCCAGATCCATCATTGCACTGTCTACGTCATGTTCACCTTGCAACAAGTGTTCTTGGGATGCCACCTGGTAAACCACAGCTGATTGCGACGAGGGAACAATCTTGACCACGCGATTACTGACCCAGTATCCCATCCTCTTCTGAATAATGTGCTCTGCAATACCAGTTTCGTTGGACAGATCCTCCGAAGTCCACAGCTCCTTGTCCTCAAAGTGCGAAATGAGTGTTGCCAACAATGGGGAGCAATTGAATTCACGTGTCTCCACAATGGGTGTGCCATCCGGTCCTTCCTCCGCCACATCGAGCTCCAACTGCACGGTACCCAGTTGGTTGAGCCAAATGAGCCTTCGAGGGTTCTTCAGACGACAAAACTCGGCACTGTACTGGTCAAGTCCAGCTTGGATCCTCGGATGATGCTTCAACTGATCGTTTTGCAGAGGAGGCCAAAAGATATGGGAGACCACAGCAGAGTCCACCACGGGCGCAGCCTTGCCGCTCGCTTTTACATCGGAATGAATCGAATTCACTGCACGCTTGCTATCATCCATGTCTTTGATCATAATCTCACAGTTCCTCATGCTCAGTTCTCCAAATCTCAACTTGAGAAGCTCGAGTGTATGCACTTCCTTGTCCGTGTTGAAGTCGAGGTTGGAGAGTAGTTTGTCGGCTAGCATCACTCTGTATTCATTGACAAAGAGTTCCTTGCTTCCATAAATGCTCACGAGCATGGCGAGAATGTCTCCACCGCCCCCACCTTTGCTTCCTGCCAAGAATGTTCCTTTGGGTTTGGTAATGGAGGGTGCTGGCTGCCAATCAAAGGTGGGACATTCCTCTTCATCGTCCGAGTCATCGCGGATTGCTTCGAGTGGCCTAGCATCCTGGCGGCGGAGTTCTTCGTATAAGTCACCACCAACCTCGGCATCAGTGAGACTGTGTTCATATAACATGAATGTCATGTGTTAAAACCGACCGTGCCGTAAGCGACCATTCCATGGCAATCTCAACATCATGAAAGCAAGGTGCAGGGTTGCTTACCTTGTGATGATGCATCGCACAGTATCATTCCGGGCTCGCAAATAGGATCTGACTGGTTCCGTAACAACCTCGAGAAGACGATCCGAGGGATCAATCTCCCGAAGGACCTGAGTTTTGATGTGAATTGTGGCGGGTTTGGTTCAGAGTGTCGTTGTCTCCACCTTATCATAGGAGCCATGATACATTCAGCCGATAGGGGAGAAGCTTACCTTGATGCTGTTGATGTAACAATCTTACGGCAGGAAAGAGCAGCAAGAGGAACGCAGCAACAATGACAGTGAGGCGACAGTGCGTATTGTGGTTGGTTGGTTGTTTCATCTTTAAAATCATTCATCTCATAAAATTGACCCACCAATAATCTGGGAAGTGTTGGCACCTGGATGGTTCAATCTTCTCACCAAACTCTTCCTCAGAGCATCGCCTAACTGCGAATGCATTTTGGTCTTTTCCATGACTGACTGAATTTCCGCCACAGCTGGTCGACTATCCGGAAATTCACAAACAATGTCAAAGATTTCGTCAATACGGACCAAACAAAAGCATTGCGCTGCACAGTGCCGCAACCGTTTGGACCAGTTTTCCTGCTCAAATCGATCTGGTCCAACCACATCGGTGACCCATACTTCAACAGTGGATTCACACCACGCTTGAATAGTGTCAAAGAATCCCTCTTCTTCAAAATCTCCCGCAATGGTGGTCTTTACTTTTTTCAAAATTGCTCGGTGAACGGCGGCCCCAAAAGCCGGCATGAGGAATCCATTGCTTCGAATCCACCCCAGTGTCCGCAAGTGTTCAAAAATGACCAAATCAGCACCATTGGCAAACAATTCATCTGGTTCCTCCTTCTCTTCCTCCTCTTCTTCGTTCATTTCGTCATTGTCGTCATTGGATGTAACGGTAGTGGATTGTCTCGATTCCAGAGAAGCTCGAAAGAGGGCCTGAAAGGATTGAACCAATTTATTCCCCGTGCAGTCGGCCGACGCCATAACGGCTGCTGTAATGGCAATGCGTCGAGCCTCTTGAGGATCACTACATCCATAATTATTGTTGGAGAAGTTGTCTGGATCCAACTCATGCAGAACCTCCACGAGCCGTTCGAGACGTTGCGGAAGATTACGCCAGTTCCTGTCAGCAGTGAACTCATCCGCCGCCATGGAAGGGATCCGGCACTGGGTTGATGGTGCAGTAGTAGTAGAAGAGGCCGTCTCCATGGTGGTTAGTGCCGTCGAAGCAAGCTTCAGAATGTCATTGCCGACGAAGTCTCCAGCGTCAACATTTCGTTGTCTCTCGCCGTGGATTTACCTCTAACCCTCCAAAACACGCTAACCTTAAGGCCTGGCTATGAGCTCGAGGCATGTTGCAGGAGCTGTTGCAGGTTTGATTTTTTTCTCAAGCCGACCCTCCACAAGACCAACGCAAAACCGAGGAAGGAAAGAAGAGACGATTTACAAAAACGTTCGATTGAGTTTGTTTCCTCGTAGGTTGGTTATAGTAATAGAAGAAGACAAAACGAAGATGACAATAGATTCAGTAGAAAAATGGGACTTGACCTCCAGGGTGTCACCCTATCTGGATCGACACATGATGTTCCCTCTCTTGGAATACCTGGACAGTCTCATCAATGCCGGCACTGTTTCCTACTCATCAAAGGATATTGCTGCAGCACGCTTGTCCTTGCTGAGGCCCACGCATATGGTTGATTATGCCATTGATATCTACAAGGAACTTCATGGAGAAGACTCTACTGTGCCGCCCGAAATGGAAGAACAAAAGACCAAGGTATATGAACGCTTGGAAGAGCTGAGAGGGGCTTGTGAAGTGTTTGACAAGCTATGTCGAAATGAAACAGAGAGGGTGAGTGAAAAAAATCTTGTGGGACCTTATGATATCCTTGGCAGAGATGTTTGAGTTGTCTTCGTACGGTATTGGGTGTTTCTCCTGACTCGGCTCATCACTCATTGTTTATTGGTTCTGTTCTATATTGCAAATTGCAATGCACAGGCCAAGTTGAAGGCTGGTGGCAAGTGGAATGTGGAGTCCCTCTCCCAGTCCAAAGATGTAGCCATTACACCGGAAATGGTGGAGGCCTACTGTGAATTGGGTCGCTACAACTTTGATTGTGGAGACTACCAGACATCTCGTGACATGCTCGAAAACTACATTTCTCTCTTTGCCAAAGCACCTGCACCTAGTGCCAACAACAACAATGATGATGACATGATGGGAGATAACCGTCGACAGCACAATCAAAATGCCAATGACAAAGATATTGGAAATCCATCCTTCTACTACCTGACAACCATCAGTACCAACTTGCTGCAAGTACTCTGGGGTCGTCTGGCTTGTGAAATCCTTGTGGAGGACTGGGAAGCTGCCAGTGTTGCTGTGGATGCTGTCAAATCGGCCATGGAGTCATTGGTGGCGTCCGATCAGATCACTTCTTTGGTGGCACTTCAGCAGCGGACTTGGCTCCTGCATTGGTCACTCTTTGTATACTGGAACAATTCTGCCAAGGGTGGGCTGGAGCATCTTGTGGAACTCTTCCACTCGGAGCAATACAAGCAAGCAATCACCACCAATGCCCCGCATTTACTGCGCTATTTGACTGCGGCTGTTCTGCTGTGCAAGCGTCGTGTCACCAAAAAGGCCGCCGCTGGATCCAACTTTGAGGCACGACGATTGATGAAGAATCTTATCAATGTCATGCAGGACTGCGAATACACTGACCCCATTGTGGAGTTTGTGAATTGCTTGTGCGTCAAATTTGATTTTGAGTCGGCACAAACCAAACTAGCAGAATGTGAAAAGGTGCTCGCTACAGATTTCTTTTTATGCCATCAAACTGCCCTGTTCATGGAAGAAGCACGTGTCTTTGTGTTTGAGAATTACTGCCGTATCCACAACAAGATTGATTTGCGTGCACTGGGCGAAAAGTTGGCTATGGACCAGGATCAGGCGGAACGGTGGATTGTAGATCTGATCCGTAATGCTGAGCTGGATGCAAAGATTGACTCCGCAGAGGGGTGTGTTGTAATGGGTGGCAGCCCTCAGAGCATTTATGAGCAGGTCATGGATCGAACAAGGGACTTGAATGTTCGAAGTGCAACTTTGGCAACAAACCTCAACAATGTGTTGAATGAGGCACGAAAAGAAAAGGCCAAGCTAGAGAGAGCCGCTCGCGAAGAAGATTAGATGGTGCCGTTATCACTTGTTATTAATGCACTGATATAGTTCTACATACTAGCTAGACAACAATACTGCTGGAAGCCAAAATCTAGCATTGCTTCGGAGTGGCATACAGTAGTATTTCATGCTTGTATGAAGGACGCAAACCCAATAATATGTTCATCTCGCCTGCAATTTGGAAGGTCACATCATCATCACCTCAGTTGGCCCGGCTAACTGGCTGTGCCCTTCACTCTGGGAATCCCATATCCCGAGTACATTACATTTTTAGGACATTGGAAGGTTCATTTTCAGCAGCATGGCTGCAAGTCCATGAGTGAGTCCCACTGACAGCCATTCTCTGGAAACTTTTGAGACATTCCAATTGGCCATGCCTAGCTAGCTAGCGACCTCTGAGCACGTCCATTCATTCCAATTTCAGCGTCTCTGGGTGTCCACCTTGAGCAGTCCCCATTCGTTCTCTCGTGTGATGAGATCAAAACCACGCATTGGACCTGGACCGTGCTAGCGTGGCGTGGAAATTTGGATGCATGCATGTTTTACCTTTAACCCTTGCGAAGTATCTTTGGGATTTTGGCGGTGGCTCGCCGTGTTCGCTCGTTGTCGTTGCCTTGTTTGGAAGGCGCAAATAAGCGGCTGCTGTGCATGTTGGTCTATCAAGCAAGGTTGGATTGGTCTGGCTCAGTCGACATCACTAAAGGAAGCTATTAGTACTAGTACGCTTGACGAATTGAGGTAGTTGACGGGAGTTCAGTGGATTTTTTTGCCTGCATCCGATAGCGATTCCCGATACCCCAAACAAAAAAGACCGAAAGATGACCACGGCCACAGCTCTTGGGAAAGGAGCTCGATATCGGTCTGGAGATGGATGTCAGTTCTCTTCGAAAAAGTGCCCCCCAGGCGTCGGGATGGACATGACCTGTGAGCTTCCCTTTGGGTTCGTTTGGACTCCCATGGCCCCATGCCCCGAAGGGAACCTCGCGGTGGTTGACTGCAAAGGAGAGGCTCTGCCACCTGTGCTCTGCATATCCTGCCTGACGTATATCAATCAGCATGCCAAGTTGCACCCTCGCAAAAAAGTCTGGGAGTGTCCTCTCTGTGGGTCAGATGAAAATGTCTTGGATCCCGCGTTGGTCGAAGAAGGCGGACTCCTCTCATCGGCACTTTCGACCACCACTGTGGAATTTCGACAACAATTTCATGTTCCTGATGCACCCGCAAAAATCCAATGTGAGACATACATTTTGGTTCTTGACTCCAATCTGAGCCGAGATGAAGCCAATGCGGTTGGAATGGCAATCCAGGCCACAATTGCTGCCAGGGAAGATGATGGAACGGAGGTCAAAATTGGTCTTATTGTCTTTGATAAGAGTGTCGCCATGTATCAGCTTGGTTTGTCGGGTATGGCTTCAGCCGATTTGTGCACCATTAAACAAGCCAACAGTGATGAACATCTTGCCAACAGAAGGATTCAAATTCAGTGCCGTCCGTACCTGGCATCCGTCAAAGCTGGCGACGACGACTTGCCTTCTTTGTGGCGCTGCCTTTCGGCGGTTTATGGGACGACACTCAGCGGAGACGGCATTGACGTTGATTCCTCTCCCGAGGAAGCTCCTAGGCCGCTCTCGAGGTTGGAAAAACTCAAACACCGGAAGGAGGCCAGGCAACGTGAACAAGCTGAAAAGAATAAACAACCTGACATGTCGCCCGTACCGCAGGAGTCGCCTTGGATCAAGGCGCAGAATCGCCAGGCGTCGGGACACCCCCATCGTTGTACAGGCGAGGCCTTGCAATGTGCCATTGACCTGGCTACGGTCAGTCAATCGAAAACTGCCAGCAGGTCGCACGTTTTACTATTTACGAATGGATGCCCCAACTTGGGAGATGGGAGTGTGGTGGCCTCAACCAAGGGGAAAAAGACACGTCGTTCCTCGAACCCATCAGTGCAACGCCTCAAGCCAGATGTCATTGAACCAGAGAGGTTGACAAGTGCTGTACAGTACTTTGAGAGTCTCTCAGAAACTGCACAGGAACATGAAGTTGGCATTGATGTCTTTTGCACAGGTATGTTTCATGCGCGGAGAGCTTGATTTGTGGTGGAATGGATTGAATTTTTCACTCGATATTCTTGCCATAGGTGCCCACGAACTGGGTTTGCCAGTCTTTCAAGCAATGGTTGAACCATCTGGTGGGTATGTGATACCCCACGAAACATTCACAACCCCCCACCTGAAACATAATCTTGGGTTCCTCTTGAGCGAGACTTTCTTGTCCAAATCAAAGAGGGAGACGTCTGATTCGACAGTAGCTCCTTCCTCTTCTCACAGTTCAACTGAACTCGAAGGATGCCTGGTTGACATGCGCATAGCAGGGTAAGTCAAATCACGCACACCGAAATTTTGTTTCATCGAATGAAATCAGCCTAAATCTCTTTGTTCAAATTCAGGTTCTTATCTGCAACCCACCTGGTTGGGTCTGGTGAATTGCTTGATGAAGATCACAAGGGTCTTCTCAACAACGAACGATCTGCTTTTGCAGTAGGCGCCTCGCTAGCAGCGGGAAGAGGATTTGCTACCAACGAGCTCCCTGCGACCGAAGCTGTGAATGAAACACTCACTCGCCTCTCACTTGGTCGGTTCGACCCGCTTGCAACCCTTTCTGTAATGCTTCGCGTCAACGAGGAGTATCCGATGGACGACACCGCATTCTTTCAATGCGTTGTTCGGTATGTAGAGAAAGATGGCCAAACGCTTGTCACGCGCGTGTGCAGTCACCAGATGCCGGTATCCAAGGACACTAGCGATTTCTTGGAGTCTGTGGACGAAGAAGTGGTTCCCGTGTTGCTTGGAAAGGAAGCGGTGTACAGATCCATGTTTGGACGTGAAATTTCCGATGAAAACGAAGTAGTGTTGGCTCCTGACAAAGAGCAGCTTGAGCGATTGGCATACGAAGCTCAACGTGACCTGGACGCGACTATCCAAAGAGTGTCAGGAGCGTACAGGTTGCTTTGTCTGGAGAAAAGCTTGAAGAGCATTTCAGTGGCATCGAATGGTGGGGCATCGTCCTCTTTGGATTTTGCTTTTCCACCAGATCTGGCAGTTGCATTGGGCCGCTTATTTCATCTTCGCCGTGGTCCTCTCATCAGCATTGAACCAATCCAGTCCACAGATGATCGTGCCGAGATACGATCTATGTTTCTGAGACTGCCACTCGAAGACTGCCTCCACATGATGGCACCTTCTGTTTGGAGTTCAGGATCTGTTTTGGTTGGTGAAGCATTACGGGAATCTGTTCCAGCTGAAACTCTGTCGCTTTGGGACCATGTACGTACTAACGATGCGTGCAGAATGTTTTCCAGTGCTATTTATTTGTGCTCATTCGACCTCGTTTCGTTCGTTGCAGTGCATCATAGCAGCAGACCACGAAGACCAGCTGTTTGTGTGGTCTGGCCAGGCAACTTTGAAGCCTGAATACGATGCAATCCGAGAGCAGTTCAAGGAATTCTTGTTGGAGCGATCCCAGAATCGATTCCCAATGCCAATGTTGCACATGCTTGCAGAAGGCGATTCCATGAGTCGTCGTTTCACTTCGCGGTTGTCTCCAAGGTACGTGATTTGTTGGCTTTCTTGGAAGAGAACATGAACTGCATGGTGGGTTATCTAACCTTGGACCTCTTTTGCTGCAAAAAGTCATGCGGATCCACCAGACCAGCAGCTGGCCCATTTCCCTGCTCTTTCCACTCTCTCCACAGAAGAGCTGTCAGCACTACGGTCCAAATTTCGCTTCTATGACCCAAATGCAGATCCCAGCTTTAGAGGTTGGTTTTGGGGAGTTGCGAGTGCGGCAAGCAATAGCAAAGACATGGGTTTGTCCTTGTGTGAGTGAGCACCGTAGACAGGGCCCACTTGTCAACCTTCAACTTCTTGGTGACATCCTGATCTATCATTTAATAAAAAATAAGGACAAAGGATATTTGCAGAGCATACAAGTGTATGATGTATAAAGACATAACCGCCTATGATTATTTTCTATAGATTTCCTTGTCTTGTGTAATAGCTTCATAGGTTGTTTGCCATCTTAGAAGAGTGAGCTCCTTCAAGTAAGTTTTCATTGATTGCTCGCTTCCCCAAAGCCCACACTTGTCCCAAGATGACGACAACGAACGGTAACGACGCAACTTGTTTCCACCAATTGCTTTGTCTGTCAAACTAACCAACTGTGACAAACAACCAAAGGTGTCTTGTTCAATTGATTAAAAGATATCCATCCTGGCCTAATTCGTGTTCTGTTTTCAGTCTCTTTACTTGTCTTCCTTCTTTTCCAAAATTTCGGCGGGAGCAGCTGCCGACCTCATGGCAGCAGCTTCTGCTTCACCCTCTGACAATCCCTTTTGGAATTCCTTGGGTACTTCTTTGAGTTCTCCAGCGATCTTTCCGGCATCTTTCCCCAATTCGGCCAACTTGGAGGGCCCAAGCAAAAAGGCAGCAGCAATCAGAATAATGGCCAATTCCGGAGCTCCAAGTCCAAACAAGCTCATGGTCTGCACAGGTGCCATGGACTTTCGTTGTCTCTGAAGGGCGGGAGGGAAATGAATGGCAGAGGTCGTCGGAAGGGCAGTGGTGGTGGCTGGCATGGCAGTCCGGGAGGGTGGCACAAAGGCCATGGTCGAGCCGAGCAAGGCGAACAGAGAGAGAAGGGTAGAAAGGAATCGGTTCATGGTGGAACTAAATAACTTGCGTGATGTGAGGGACAGATGAATAAGAATGGTGGGAACAAAGTTTGTGATTGCTTTGCTTCGTTTTGGCGGATGAGCTCTTGTTTCAATTGGTTTCAGCTACGAAGCTTGAAAGAGTTGATGGCTGCGGCTTTTGCATTGTGAATGACGCCACATCAAAACGAGGATCTTTTGACAGGTGTCAATCGAGCGCTCGCTTCAACCGCATAGCTTGTTGGGGGATCGAGAAGAGCAAGTGTGCTTCCGGCAAGACTTCAACTTTCGTGATTTACAAACCTCATAACCTTTTTCGCCTGCAGCCAACGAAGATCTTCGGGTCGACTGTCAATCCTCACTTTTTCTGTGGGAAACACTTATTACTTTCTCGTCTTTGAAAGAGTTTATTATTGATCGAGTTAGGTCTATTGAAAGAATAATAAAACAGATTCACCATGGGCAACCGAACCAAAGGACGCCCCAAGCAGAAGTCCATCAAGGCGGCATCCCATTCGGGGATGGGCAGCAAGCGGAAGCTGTCTCGAATGGGAAAGAAGCAAAAGAAGCATCATTCCGGATTGGATGCTACCTTCATTGGTCGAACTGCCTGCGTCAAGCGTTTGCAAGTGACCTTGAAGGACTTTCGTCGACTCTGCATTCTCAAGGGAATCTATCCTCGGCAGCCTCTAGGCCGTATTCCCAAGAACAAAAAGGGGCAGACATTTTACCACATCAAGGATATCAAAGCCATTGCCCATGAACCAGTCCTGGAGAAGTTTCGCGAATTTCGAGCCTTTATGAAAAAGATTCGACGGGCCGCAGGAAGAAATGAACGGGACGAAGCCGCGAGAAAGAATGCGATTGTTCCTACGTATTCGTTGCATCACCTTGTCAAGGAACGGTATCCGCGATTTGTCGATGCCTTGAACGATCTCGATGATGCCTTGACATTGATATACCTATTTGCGGCATTGCCCAGTGAAGGGGCCATTAAGGCCAAAGTAACGAATAAAGCCAAGGTATTGGCGGCATCCTGGGGGGCTTACTGTTCCACGACCTTTTGCATCACCAAATCCTTCATATCCGTCAAGGGTATCTACCTCGAAGCGTCCATTCAGGGTTCGACCATTCGGTGGGTTGTTCCACACTCCTTCACGCAGTTCTTGCCAGAAGATGTGGATTACAAAGTCATGCAAACTTTCTTTGAATTCTACGAGACCCTTTTGGACTTTGTCCTCTTCAAACTTTACAATGATATTGGTGTCAGGTATCCAATGCCCGTGGAAGGAGATCCCGCCAAATTGGAGGCAGGAAGCAAAAGTGCCATCCTATCGGCTAGTTTGAAGTCTTTGAAAAATGCATTGAATTCTTCCACTGGTGCCATTGGCAATGCAGTCACCAAGTCGGTCGAAACTGCAGCTGCCGAAGAGGACGAAGATGCGGCGGAAAAGCAACAACCACCAAAGAAGAACCAATCCTCCAAGAAATCCAAAGAATTAATCAAGAGTGTAGGAGAAGCACTCAGCAAGGTCGAAGAGGATGACAATGATGAAGAAGCCGAAGATGACGACGAAGACGCCGAAGAAGGCGTGGATGTCGCTGGGCCCCTCAAAGCAGCTCTCGAGAGCATGGCCGAGGAGGAAGATCGCAAGACAATTCCGGGCGGAAACGAATCAGAACTTAATGACGATGCCTTGAAGCGAAAGCATCTCTTTGCCGGTCTCACCTTCTTCCTTTCCAGAGAAATTCCTCGTGGGTACCTGGAGCTTGTCTGCTTGGCGTACGGTGGTTCCGTTGGATGGGAAGGTGATGACAGTCCCATTTCCGCAAAGGATCCAAAGATTACTCATCACATTGTCGACCGACCCAAACTGCCCGCGAGCTACAATGGACTTCCCAAATCGCGAGAATTCGTTCAACCACAGTGGATCCTCGATTGTGCTAACTTTATGTACATTCTACCCATTGCCAAATACGCCGTCGGAGTCACCCTTCCACCTCATCTCTCGCCTTGGGTGGACGACGAGGAGGAAGGATACAAGCCAGCGTATGCCGAGTATATTGAAAGGCTCAAGAATGGTGAATCTGTGGAGGAGATTGAAGCTGAGGAATTGGAAGCAAAGATTCTGGCTTCCAAGAAGGAACAAGAGGACGAGTCATCGTCCGAAGACGAAGAAAACGAAAACGACAATAGGAAGGCAGAAGACGAGGAGCCTCAGAATGACAAGGATGATGAAGAAGAAGAAGACGAGGAACAATCCGAAGAAAGTGACCAAGATGAGGAAAAGGCAAAGAAGAACAAGAACAAGAAGCGCAAGAAAGAGGTACGTAATGCTCGGGGTTGCTGTTCTTGTGTGTCACGTGTGAGACTTGGATGTATGGGTTTTGTGGAGTCATGGCTCACTTCGTGTTCTGCAATTTTTTCTATGCTGCAACCCAAAGGAGGACGAGGCACACGATCTTGCCAAGGTAATGATGAGCCGCAAGGCTTCCAGACTCTATGGTAGAATGCAGCGTGGAATTGCCCAGAAGAAAGCTAGTGTCGAGATTCTGCACAAACGCAGGAAGGCGCTCGATGACCCGAGGGAAAAGGGGTCCAAAACTGTTTTGAAGCAGAAAGTTGAGCGTCTCAAAGACGAGCGCAAGGATGTTGAACGAGCATATGCAAAGACTGGCGGTTCGATGAAGAAGTCAAAGAAAAAGAAGCATCAGCAGTCGTGAAGGTACCGTACATCGGACTTAAATTATGCATAGTAACAGTTGATTGTTAGCTCGTAATCCATCGTAGATTCGTTCTCTTTTTCAGTAGTGTCTCGTTGTTTTGGTGCAAGAATGTGCCCCGAAAGAGCCTTCATGAGGCTGAGCTGATAGCTTTTTAATAATTTTGATGTCGGTTTGAAACTGAGTGACGAGTCGAGTCTCACGGCACCAGCAATCGGCAACTCAGCCGTTGCAAAATCCTCACTTGAACAACACAACACCGCAGCACAAAACAAGTCATCGAAAGAAAGAAGCAGCGACAATGGAACTCCGCAGCCAACTTTTCCCTTTCATTCTTCTCCTTATCGTGAGCTGGAGCCGACAAAACGAAGTAGGAGGAAGCAGTTTGTCGACTGATGCATTGGCTCGGTATACCTTCACGACAGCAGCTTGCAACGAGGGATCGTTCCCAGATACAGCCCATCACCTCGAAGTTCCTTTGCCATCCTTGGGGCGCAATCGAGAATACACCAAGTGCTCCAAGGGACTTGGCGTGGAGGCCGTTCCTTACGTCGACGCCAGTGTAAATTCCAACGTTCCACTTTGGCTCGAACAAAAAGATGGCCTCAATGACATTTTACAGCATGTAGCGCGAAACGACTGGGGTATCAGCTTTGAGCTTTGGCTCAAACCCATCGTTGGCGACGAGCCACGAGTGGCCGAGTCAGTCATCTTCGCGATCGGTTCACCTTCTTCCGCCGACGAAGACAAGTCGAACGACTGCGATGAGCTCGGTTTGTGGGAAAGCAACGGCAAACTGCAAATTTCATTGCGTACTAGCGATCCGTTTGTGCCCAGTTGCGTCACCTCTTTGGTCTCAGACTTCTCGATTCGGCCAGGAAAGCTTATCCATCTTGTGATCTCGATACGAGATGGCCATCAACGTGTTTTTGTCAACGGCAAAGGCCAAAGCTTCGCAAATGAACACTTTTCATTGGACTCTTTGCGCTCTGCAACCGCCATGACTTTTTTCTCGTCGGTGAACAACAGTATCGGGACATGGCAAGGGAGCTTGTATCAGTTTTCGATCTACGACAATGCTCTTTTGCAAACCGAGGTCGAGCAAAGCCTAACTGCCGGCCTTGTTGGCGACATTCCACATTCGATCCCATACGAAGTCGTGCTCAATGAAGATGCCGAAGCCGAGCCTGAATCACATCCCATTGAGTGGTACTTCTCGCCTCAATCCGTTACATCGCTGAGCCTTGATGACACGCAAGACATTCAAAAGATACCACTAAGCCTTCGACCTGTCCAGGATGAAATCAATACTTTGCTTGCTGCTGCCAATTTGACCCTCATCAACGACAACACGTTACTAACGGTCTTTGCCTACATCACAGCTCTGCCATCCAAGGGCAGCTTGTTTCACCACAAGGACGAAGGATTCGTTGAGCTACATCATACAAACGACGAGCCGTTTGCACTTTTTCTTGAGGACCCCGACTCATTGGTATACTTGCCCACCCACAGCGAACACTCGGAGCTCCCTGGTTCAGTGTATACAACTATTTCATACTGTGTTTCAACAAGAGTTATTTTTGATCCAGTCCAGTGTGATCCCTCAGTGATCTCGATTGTTGTCGACGAAGTCAACGATCCTCCGATTGCTATTGCAAACCCAGCATCGCTTCAAGCCGTTGAGGGAGGTGATACCCTTGAAATGGCTTCCATCCAGCTGGGAGGATCGGACGTTGACCGGCAAGATTCCGTAACATTTATCCAAATTACCAGTCCTCCAAAGTGGGGCAAGCTGATGCTCAGGGTGACAACCTTTCGCGACGACGGCCTGCCTCATGGAACCCTATTCTCGCCAGCAAACAACTTTACGGTTGCAAGTCATGGATCCTCCGAGTCTGTCTACGTGAAATACTTATTCAACGGTATTGACCCAGGTACGTCGCAGCACCAAGGCATTCCTGGCAATGACGCAATGGACTACTTTCGCTTTCGAGTATCCGACCAGCAAGGGGCCTGGTCACTGGAACAAACCGTGCATATTGATATCATGTCGGCGGTTGAGACAGTGACACCAAAGTCGATTCAGAAGCTATCAGGGGATGAGCCAACGGCCATCAATTTCAATGCCACTGATGCCTCAGGATACGAGAGACCTTTGGCACTGTTTTTCGATACGATACCAAATGAAGATATCGGTTGGCTGGTTGAGACGAACTCAAATAGTATCTTGAGACCTGGGTCGGTCGCGCCTGTTGAGACCGCTCTCTCCTTCCTTCCCAATGCATCTTTTTGCAGCGACAAGTATGATCCAGGGATCACAACCAGAGTGAATTACCGTGCAGTAGCCCTGATGAACGACAAAGTTACGAGTGTATCCACAAGTGTCATCCAGAGCTTCGAAATGCAATGCCCCAAACCGATCATCGACGTCACAAGCACCAGCAAGACGATTCATTTGTATGCCTTCAGTCTATATTCGATCAATCAAACGAATTGTAGAGTTCCCCTCTACGAGAGCCTCCATTCTTCAGAGTCTCGCATTTGCGACGAGGCAGCCACTGTTGACGGAGTTCGACCAATATCAGCGACCCGACGAAGCCTTGGCTATGAAGTGGTTGTCACGGTGCTGCCAGAAAGTGGATACATCACATTCTCAGAAGTCTCATGGCACAAGGTGAGGCTTTTCAAGGGAAGAAGGGCTATGGCTTCTGAGAATGTCACATTCGCAGCATCTCTCGAGGACCTCGAAGAAGTCTTTGATGGCATGACCTATCGTAGTATTCTGCCCGGCAATCACAGCTTGGAGATAACGATACAATATGAAGGTTGTCTGGTCAACGAGCACTTCAACCAGACAGAATCAGGCGTTGGAGGCACCGGACACGATGAGTCTTGTCCCAAGATCAGTCTGGCAATCCCAGTTATTGTCGAGGAAGGAGACCGCGACGATGCTCCAGTGTCCATCAAGTTTCCAATTGAGGTAGTTCTTCCCTGGTTTGGATACCCACTAGTTTACTTTCTGTGGTTCTATGTTGAAGGATTGCGGCGGGAAATTAAGAGGTTTGCACTGTCTTACTTTGCGTTTGTGGGGGCCTTTTGGTACGGTTTCTTCTGCAAACGACGAAGCGACAAGTCTGATTCAACTTCAAAGTCAGCCCGACAACGTGTGTGTGCCCCTGGGCCCGAAAGCGACTGTTTGGGAGCCAACCGCGATCCCCACGCGACGACAGCTTCGCAGACGTCTTGGGACCACTCTGGTCTTGATCATTCGGAAACTTATCAATTTCGGGCCGAGCCACACGAACATTTCCAGCTTTCGCCGGGCACAATCGTCCAAGAAGCCCATCACCATCACCACCACCCTTGGGCTGCCGCACCGTTTGACCACCGAACGAAATACTAAATCATCAAAAGATATAACTCCACAGCAAGCTACCAGGTACCGTATTAGGACTGTGATGCCGGTATACCTGTACCGGTACCCTTACGATAATGTAGCACCGGCACCGTTGCCATTATCTAACCAATCCGTCCGCTTGAAACTACTAGTACTAAGCTAGCTCATACGATTTTAGCAAAAAGTGACTGAACTAAGTAAGTTTACTCACAAACTGCCGAATCGCTAAAACACAGGCTTTACTCTGTGGTAACTTTTCGGTTGTTTGACTTTTCATCCCCCACGGGAATCATCAGTGCTTGGGCTATTGTGGTACTTATGAAATCGTGGTTTATGTCGGCATGCTCCGTATATTTCGTTGCAGGAGTTGATCAGCTTTTCCGGTGATTCTCTGGATCGTTTCAGTATCTCGAGTCGCTCCCTGTTGCATAGGCTGCAGTGTCGTGTCCCGAAGGTCTTGACAGTGCTGATGGGGTTGCCTTGCCATAGGATGCTAATTTCGATGCTGTTCCTTTGAATGGTGCCGTTGAGTCGGAATGGTGAAGGAGGTGCGAAGTTTTGGAATTCGTTGGCGAAGTGTCTTGCGTATGAATCTGACTTGCGTTTTCCGTAGAGGAGACGCATGACGTCGGTGAAGTGTTGGTATGTCCGTTCTTTGACGTTTCGTTGGGTTGCCCCAATGTATTCCTTGCCTGAGTTTATGCATTTGATACAGTATATAGCCAGTTTGTTTCTACAGCGGTCGTCAAATCGGCATTGACCGTCTTTCTTGTTTCCTGGCTTGCAGTTGCAGGTTTCATTTTGGAACTAAGCTAGCTGGCTACTAGTAGACTACAGCTGTAGTCGATTGAGTCGAACCTCAATCGAATCGAATCGAATCGAATCAATCATTCAACTCCCGCAGTGCTTTGTGCGTCAGTCACTGATTTGATTTGATCGGGACTGCCTGCCACCATCAATCTGCCGTCTGCATGCCGTCTGCCATGAAGATCTCGAAGAAAAAGGCAATCGGATGAGAATGATGTGCACCCTACTCTGCCCATTGCATTTCAGCTCTTCATAGAAGACTGCATGCAAAGATGCTCTACACGTTATCGTCGACCGTACCTATGTTGTTTCTTTTTGGATATATCTTCTGTTCGCCATTGGCGGCCAATGGCTTTCTAGTCACTCAGCAAAAGACTGAGACTCACAGACATCCATCGATCTCGGTAGCATGGGCTAAACCATCCCCCAAAGCCAGCTTTGACTTGGAAGCGATTGAGGCGTTTGAATCCCAGCTGGAAGAATTGGAGCAACAAAATGCGGGAAAGACAAAAGACACGAAAGGTGAACAGCAGAAGGAGCCACAGTGCAGTATCCAAACGGTGGTGGTACCAGAAAATCTACACAATAAACGCATTGACGCCGTCCTAGCTGCCCTGCTGGAACCAGAGCTGTCCAGATCCGTTTGTGGCAATCTGGTCGCGGAAGGTCTCGTGCAGATATTATCAGAGGATCAAGATGAAGGCCAAGTGATGAACCGAAAATCGTTCAAGGTAGAAAAAGGCATGCAGTTGGAGGTCTCCCTACCACAGGACGAAAAACCCACAGAAATTGTGGCTCAAGAAATACCTCTGGATATCCTCTTTGAGGACGAACACATGATTGTAATCAACAAAGCAGCACATATAGTAGTACATCCAGCAGCAGGAAATTGGGATGGGACAATTGTCAATGCCCTAGCACACTACTTGCCCAGATCTGAGCACGGACGAGGCGATTTTGTCGATGAACAAGGCAAGACAACTGCCTCCGCTTTGAACGACCAAGAATCGGAGGATGCACTTGCCGAAAGCGAATCCGTGGATGAAAGCAACACTGTCTCGTTTCGGCCAGGGATTGTCCACAGACTCGACAAAGGAACCACGGGAGTTCTGGTGGTGGCCAAGACCTCTAGAGCTTTGACAGCCTTGAGTGCTGCCTTTGCTGCACGGCGTGTCAGCAAAACCTACTTGGCCGTCACTGTCGGTAATCCCGGCAACAATGTCAAAATTGACAAACCCATCGGTCGACACCCTGTTCATCGACAACGAATGAGGGTCGTGCCGGATCGCGACCAGAAAAACAGTCGCAATCGTTTGGCACCACCCAGTAAACTGTATGCCGACAGCAGACCTCCTTCGCAGGTGGGAAGACGAGCGCTCTCTTTTGTGGATTCTTTGGCCTTTGATGGAAAACTGGCACTCGTACGAGTCAAGATCGAGACCGGTCGAACGCATCAGGTAAGGAGCGTCTTGTGCTCTGTTGTCTAGCTAGCCAGCTGAGTGGAGACTACAGTACTGTGTTGCATGACAACTGACACTATTCTCAATGTTGCGTTGCTGCGCTACCAAAAGATAAGAGTCCACTTGCAGGACCGACATACACCCATCTATGGCGATGATGTCTATGGTCTATCAGATTGGAACAAACGCTTATCCAAGACATACCAAATCGATCGACCGTTACTTCATGCCTACAAGCTCTCCTTGGAACATCCCATTACAGGAGAGCCACTGGACTTCACAGCTCCATTGCATGATGACATGATGGGAATTGCCAATACCATCGTGCCGCCAGGGAGTGAGCCAGAGTTGTCCGAATTGTTGACGTGGAGGTGATTCAAAGGCAGGCAGGCATGAGCAACAACTCGTTGGAGAGCCTTTTAAAAAGAAGAGTGTTGTATCATTGCGTATTGTCAAACTGGTATAAGCGTGGGATGTCGCAGTTTCGGACGTATTGCACAACGTACGCATTGCTCGTCCGTCCTCCAAACCCAAAGGGTGCCTTGGAAGGCATCAAAGCCTTCCTCAGTCGACAAAGCATTTGCCGTGGTCCATTGCGTTTTTTCTGTATTGACGATGGAGCTTTACTGCGACGTCCTCCATAGGCATCGGCAATGACCTCGTCAAAGGAGACCTTTGTAACCACATGATCGTTAAATCGATACCAATCATCACTTTGAATGTCTGGTCTTACATAGGAATAGTAATGACCCGATCCGTATTCTCCAGCATGGACCACCACGGACTGGAGAGAATAGATAGCAGCAGGCTTCTCCTCGTCTTGAATATCCGCGCAAAGCGAGGTCAGATCTAGAGATTCCGGGAACGTGCACTTTTTGTTGACTTTGTCCATTTGATCTGTCTGCCAATCATAGTTGAAACGCTTCAAGTGCATTTGAAGAATGGAGGGGAGCCCCTGGACTCGCAGCAGGGACCCTTTTAATGCATCTACTTTCTCAGCTCCTTTCTCGGGGCGCCATCCATTGCCCTCCTTTACACTGAGCAACTCTGGCTCACCAAAGTCTTCATGCAGGCTGTCCAAGATGGAGTCTCTGATGATAAAAAGACAAGAGAAGGAGGAGTAAGGTCATTGAACCTACGCACACGAAAACAAGTGCAACCGACCACCAATTCAACTCACTCTGAAATGTCTAGTGACAAGTCCAAAAATGGTTCTTCCCTTGTTCGTTCCCGGTTGGATCCATCATTTGCTTTGATATAGGCTTCAAAGGATCCTTGATACAAGTCGATAAGATCGGGGCACTGCAAAGCTGGCAAAAGTAATTTCCAAAACTCTTGTGAATCCTGCTGCTCAAAGACGGGAATGCCCAATACTTGACAAAGAATGCGCGGTGCTATCGGAGTGGAGGATGCTGCCATATCTTGAAAAACTTTTCGAAGAGCTTGAATGGCCAGTGATTCTTCTTCTTCTTCTGCTGATACTTCTTCTTCTGTTGTTGATTGGGCTCCACTGTCATCTTCGGCTTGGCCCTCAGCTATCTCATCGACTGGTGCCACTTCTGATGGTGTTTCTTCTTCTATAGCTGCTGAAGCAGAACCAGTGGCTGCATCATCTGTAACTGAGCTTTCTTCTGTAGCTTCTACTGATACACCAGATTCTGCTGGGTCCTCTTCTGTAGATTCTAAACTGGGCTGGGTGTCTTCTGTATCGTATTCACCCGAAGCCTCTGAAGCTTCTTCTGTGGGCTCGGTGATTGGGATTGCTTCCTCGTCTTGTTGTTGATTGTGGGTATCTTTGGTAACAAAAGTCAAGGGTGGTGACTCAATCAAAGACCTGATCAGAGGTATATGAAAAGCACATTCTAGCTGCGAGTTCAAGTAGCAAGTATTGCCTAGATTTGTCATTCCAGGGGAGATCACTACGGGGCTTGCAGCAGCTGCACCGATGGACGCCGACCTGGAAACCAGCAAGCTCGTCGGCAACGTTGCGGTGGCCGTCAACCACAGGAACAGAGATAGGAATTTCATGTTTCTCTTTATTGTATTGACAGATCGGTTTGGGAAGTACTACCGGTACATGTATACTAAACAAGAGAGTTGCCTATCGGATTCGAATGATTCTCACTCACTGCATGTGATCTGCCTCCCATGAGAAGGTTGAACCATCGGAGGGTTCCAGCCGTCGATTGATGCCGAGTCGGACATCGCTGACGTCACTGTCACTCTCTACAGCTCAGCTGTCTTCAAAACCAAACACGGAAAACATGCAGTCCCGCGAACCAAAGCAAAGCGGCTTCAGCATTGTTTCCAAAAGATCCAGCGCTGCTTCCATTGTCCATTGTTGTCTACTCGAGTACTAGCTAGCTAGCTAGCAGTGTGTTTCTTTGCGAGGACAATTAATTACAATATCCCTTGAAGAGAAGAACAGAGAGATTATTAGAGCCACCATGACGCAGGAGTTTGGTGTAGCGACCGCCATGGCGGTGATTCTTGGGACGATGTTGGCCATGGTGGGTGGTCTGGTTGCTCTGCAGGATCCAAAGAAGGACAAGGACAAGATCCAGCCAGGACGATACTATCCGTGTCCCATCACAGAACCGTCTCGACTGGCGTATGAGAAGTTTGTCAGTGTCTATTCTCCCATGTGGATGTGTTTCTTTGGCCTTGTCGTGGTGACACAAGTCTACGAACAATTCACAGCCTGGTCCTATCTGCAAGTCTGTGGGGGATTTTCCCTCCCCTTTCTGTTGCAACCGGTTCTTTTTCCGTCGGCTGGATTTAATTCTCCTGATGCCAAACGACCACTGTTGGAGCGGTATAGCTTCAAAGCCAACGTATGGATTGCCGTCTACTCCTTTATTGGAAATTACTGGTATACCCATTGTAAGTTCCAATTTCATTGAGTACCAGGCTTTGTCTATGTTTGTGCTGATTCCTAACTGCATATCTACCTACTGTACATGCCTATATACATACTACATACTATCATTGCAGACTTTTACTCCGTACTGAAAGCCCAATACACAATGCCGGCGCACAGGTTGAACAATGTCCCGATCGCCATGTACTTTGCCACCCATTTCTACTTTTCTTCCTACCACCTCTTTTCCAATCTACTGCTACGAAAGATTGTCACGTCGTATCAAGAGGGCATCAAACGAACCATTCTCTTTGTGGCTGTGGTATTGGTCTTTTCCTACTTTACAGCCTTTATGGAGACACTGACCATAAGTTCGTTCCCCTATTACTCGTTTGAAGACCGGGACATGGCCTACACTGTGGGAAGTGCGTTTTATGGAATCTACTTTATTGTCAGTTTTCCCGGATTCTATTACTTTGATGCGGATGTGGACAAACCCAACAACAGTGCCGGCAAAGTGACTTGGTTTGATACCATCTTATCGAGCTGTGGTCATGGCATGATGATAATGACCTTGTTGGATTTTGTAAGGCTTTCTCTGGATATCCCATTGGTAGTGGGGGCTCCACCGTTGGCATCGTGAAGGCACCATCCTGTATTCAGTATCGACTAGCCACCATTATTTCATTACTATTGTACTGTAGTTATCTTCTTATGGCTGTGCAGCAGACTCCAGTTTATTTAGTTGATGTCTTATTGTCATCCATCTAGTTGGGTACGCCACTTCCAGTAGGTTGCTATGGCTTGTGGGCATAATTTTATTGTCATCATTCCCATTTTGAGCAGCAGCAGCAGCACTTGGTCTTCGATCAATCGTTGCATGGCCATGAGATTCTTGTTTCGCCACCAGCGCCATCCAAACCCATGGCTCGAGCAGCTTCCCGTTGCCGACGACGATCCTCTCGTTCTTCCAAGTTTCGTCGTCTTTCTTTTTTGCCCGCCTTTTTTCTATTATTTTGCGGTTGTGGCTGCTGCTGCTCATTATTATTGTCGTCATTTTGCTGGTTGTGTTTGCATTGTCGTGGTTCTGCCGAGGTTGTTGTGGTCGTTCTTGTCGTCGATGTTCCTGATCATCATCCACTACTAGAGGAGGAGGTGGATGCATTCCTGCTGCTCCCATCATCATGCCTCCACCCACGTGTTGATTGACGAGTTCTTCGACATCGACGGATCCCATGAGTCGTTGAAAGCCTCGATTAAAGACGGAATAAGCCGACAACTCTCCGTCATTTTCATTGTCGCCCAATCCAACGGTAAAGATAATTGCAAGTGCCGTGGATATCAGAACCACAGGGCCTGCATGAGTAACTATTTTAAAAAGAAATAAATCATTAATGAAACAAAACGTAAAGCAAAAAGGTTGAGTCGACGTGATCCATGATACCCAAATAATATGGTGCAGAGATACCAGTAGACACGTAACGGTCACTTACTCATGAATCCATCGAACCACCAGGTAGTACAGGACGATCCCTCCCACTATCATCCAATGGCGACTTGTCATGTTGCACAGCAGGGACCATAGTCGAGGAAACAGTCGGCCAGAAACAGACACTACTTGTCTCGCAGTCGGAAGAACACGAGTCTTCCAGATGGACGAAAGAGAAAACTGATTCTTGTACTGACTGAACCGCACAGGCTGCAGCTCGTACAAGATGGCACGCAGTAGACTCTTCCATTCCTCTACCTTGCGATCACGAGGGCGACGGGCTTCGTCCCAAAGGGCACGAGAACGCTTGAAACCAGCTGGGGGCATCGTATTAGTCTACTGATAGTGCTGGTTGGCTTTCTTTTTTTGGAAAAGAGGTTTGCATGAGGAGGGGTCGAGCGGAGAGTGGAGAGGGAGGCGGGAGCTTGGAGCAAGTGTCCGACATTTTTCATCAAATCTTTACGGTGATACAGTTATCAGTCACACTTCCCAGACGTGCTTCAGTCCCAAAAGACAATCAAATTTGTAAAACCAAAGCACTTTATCACTACTAGTAGACTAGCTAGAGTATCTTTGTTTGTTGTTGCAGTCCAAGAATCACAGAAACAAAAGGAAACAGCACAAAATATTTGTGTTAGCTCAGTGACAGAGCAACCGAGCTGAGCCCAAGGTTCAATTCCTTCCCACATCCAACGGACAGGATTTCTGGCTTTCAACCACAAGGTCTGGGTTCTTCAACTCCCAGTATGGGTTCTCATGGTACATGTATGGTACCGGTAGCTCAGAAGACAGAGTATCAGATTTCTAATCTGAAAGTTACGAGTTCAAGTCTCGTCCATATCTACTAGTATCTGCACTTGCCCCAGCATGGTCTAGCTAGCTAATGGCACCTAGGACCTACGGTAGGACACTGCACTCGAATGCAGGGGTCAGGGTTGAACGCCCTGTGCCGGGCCTCAATGTAGTTGGCAGATTCACTGACTCGGAAGACAGAACAAGGGTCATGTTGTACTGTTGGCCCCAATGAGCTGACCGAACGATCATCGATAAGTGTGTTTTGGCATCCTAGCTGGCCGGATGGATAGGTCGCGTACTAGCACTCGATTAGTTTGCCGTGCTCCAGTCCCAGTAAATCCTCCAGTACTTGGCTTGGCCTTGACGCACCGATAGATTACGGGAGTACCAGAGCGTACCCGTTCTTCAAATAAATAGATAAAGATGAGTGAATGATTCTCATTCATTCCTTTTCTTCGTCTGGACCGGTAGAAGCTGGTAAACCTTTAGAACTAAAACGTCAAGTTGGTTTCCTCAACGCGCTTGATATCCTTGATCAGTTCACCCACCCTCCTCATGCAGGTCGCTCGGATATCCTTGCTCAGTTGCCAAAATTTTCACTCGTTAGCCACAGAGGCAGCCAGTCCAAGCCCTTCCTCACTGGTACAGGTGTACCGGTACAGTACAGTACCGGTGCCCCATCAAACCATGACTCTGTGACATTTCTCGTCGTCGATACCGAAATATCGCCTTTTTAGCGCAGCTAGGGACTGGAGGCAGGGTCAACGAGCCACAAGGTGCTACCGGTACCTGGTACCGGTAGAGCTCCCTCCACGATCCGCAGAAAGCCCGCCGAATTTCCAGAGCCAAGGACGTCTCGAGAAACGAGCCCTCAATTGCAGGGAGCCGACAATCGAATCGAATCGAATCTAGATCATTGCCTTGACGACACACGCGCTTGTACATGTAGAACGGTCGGTCTGAGAGGAAAACCCAGGGGTACGGTAGGGTGTGTGGCTTTCTATACGGTACGATGCAGCTCCCAATGAGCCGTGATATCTACCGGTAGCTAGCTAGCTGCGCATACTATTGAGAGACATCGCTCGACCCTTTTGCAGTGCCGCACGTGCGGATCGATCGTCGGTATGGCGCCATTCGTCTCCAAAAACAAGCTCTAGCAGCCTTTGTAATCTCCCCAGTTCTCCCCATGAATGACACCCAGCACATGCGTCGTTTGAAAAGCCAGCAGGTCAACAGCTGCAAAGCTTCGCTTGATCCCGAAGATTGGCAAGGTTTCGCAGCTCAAACCCGTGATCCACCCCGTGGCCGTGACAGAGATGACTTCAATCCAAACTCGGGCCATCATGGAGCGTCCATGGGCTCTGTCATAGAGAATCACTTTGACCAAGTCTCCTGCCCGAATCTGAGGAGTCATGTCGGCAGCCGCCGAACGTGTGATGGATCGTGCGCTTCCCAGTGTCTTTCGTCGAGTGCTACCGTTGTTTCGTTTCTTCAGGCGCTTGGTCACGATGTTATCACTGGTAGACAAGGCAGTTTTCTTACTACATGTACGGACTCGGGTACTGCGACTGTTGCAGCTATCGGTACTAAAAGGAAACTTGATATCAAAGAAATCTTCGTCCGAGTCGTGAAACTTGCTGGGCTTGTTGGAAAAGTCAATCAATGGCAGGTCCTTATTGAAGCAGAATTTTTCTAAGGAATCGCCATTGTCGTAATGACTACATTCCGTATCGAGTTCAAGGTCGTTCATGAGATGGCCAGGTCCAGCATATGCACCAGTGGGTTCGTTCAACTTTTTGCGAAGCACGATTGTCGCTGGCAACTCCTCCTTGTCATTGCCGTCTCCAATATCCTCTCTGACAACGTTGACTCGTAGCGACTTGATCTGAACTACGATCCCTGTGAATGTGAGTTTCTTGTTGTAGTTGAGATACACTGGAGTCCACTCTGCTTGATCGGCGGCTTTCTTGGTGATATTGCCGGAGCGGCAATGACGACCTTCGTCATTGGTCGTGTTGTCGATTGATGTGGAGGCAGGCATTGTCATGTCCTTGTGATGGCTCTGGCCAATCGCTGTCGCCTCGTTGTCGAGGATCAACGAGGATGATTGTGTCATTGTGCAGTTTCAATGGAATACAACAAGTAGAGAGTCAATATTAATAGCTACCGATAGATGCACCGCACCAACAAACCAATGCCAACAGTCCTTTTTGCCGCAAACGAGATGCAAAGAAGAAGTCGAATGAGTCAAGTCCATTTGAAAAGACCGCACATTAGCCCCCCTCTACCGGTACACACTTGGTGGCTTGGGCAAGTCACGACCCAAGGCAAAAACTGCTAATGTAGCTACTAGTAGCTAGCTACATAGTAGCGAATAGGCTAGGTAGCCAGATTAGCAACACAGCAGACAGCTCCTAGAGGGACAACACCTCCTGTCTTGCGCTGCTTGCTCCTGCTAGTTAGTTAGTACAGTAAAGCTGGATAAGAAGCAAGCTTTTGTTGTGAAGTATTCCCGTTTCCTAGTATTGTTATTAGTGATATAGAACTTAATTACAGTTGTTGATTTGACTTTGAGAGGATTGATAGATAGCGTAGCATAAGAAGAGCAAGGTTCTATTCTGCAGCTAGCGCTTCGGGGCAGAATGTCAGCCCGCATTCAGGGCAAAAGACAATCTGAACATTGGCTGCTGCCAACATTCGCTTCTGACATCCAATGCAGGTGACTGTTCGTGTTTCTGTGTTGCTGTCAACCGTGACAACCCGGATTCGTCGTCCCTCTTGTCGAGCCACATCGTGAAGCCAGTCAGGAATGACAGGTTGCTTCTGCTGTTGCTGTTCCTTGACTCGATTCCAGAGTTTTTCTTGTTCCCGCAAGAAACTGGTCGATTGTCCCAATTCAGTAATGCAGCAATTATCCTCGTGGTTGCTAGTGCTGGAAGAAAAGCTGTCATCAAAGCCGTTCTCGCAATGCTGGGGAAGAGTGGCGGCTGCTGCTGCTGGGGCTGCTGCAGTTGGAGGGTAGTTATTGAATTGATAAGATTGGAAGGGCTCTCCTTCTTCGATCTGAAGCTGGCGAAGCACGTGGCTGTTGTGAACGCTCTGGAAAAAGGAAACCACTCGTGATACCATTTCTTCAGGGCCAAGATAGGGCGACAGAGCAGGGGGCTTTTGAAGAGCCAAGCGACTGGGAATGTACATGTGTCTCTCTTGAGCCGCATCAACGTGCTCAGACATCAGGTCTTGTTGACTATGGCGACGGGCGCTACCCATGGCCCATTCACGCCATTCCGAGTACTGATGCACTCCTAACGATCGGGAGTCGATGGAGTTGTTCAAGATGTTGGTAGCAGGATTGATGGCAAACATGGTCGTCATGGCTTATGGAAAGGTGGTGAGATGTTTTATGCACTGATCGAAGTGATCAAAGATAGATTGCCTCTGCTGTGCTTGATGCTTATCGCAATGAAAAAATTGTGTGCCTTCTTCCTTCGCTTTCGAGGCGTCTCACTTTTTGCTGCTGGCTCACTGTCCAAGGTTTCCCAGCGGTTAGTCCATCAACTCCCATAAACCACCTGCCAATCCTTCATTGAAGGGGGTCTCCATGTATGTCTCCATCCAGCGTCGCCTATGCAGTTTGGGTGTTTTATACCAGTCAGAATTTAGTCGTTCTTGCTATTCCTTGAAAAGAGTGTCCTAGAATGGCAGCTGTACTGGTTGAATCAGTTTGGCCTCTTCCATAATACCACCTTGCAGCTCCAAAACACCAATTTTCACAGTATCCCCTTGGTTTAAGATACTACAGTATTCCTGGTTTTGCAGTGCAGTGTGCAGTACTATACCGGTAGCTGGCTATGTTAGTCGAGTCCTATCCAGTCTGCCCCTCTTGGGACTAGACTTTAGAATGCAAGTTTTCCGAAAGGTTGCCTATTGCCTATGGTACCGCACCTGCAAACCTCATGAATAAAGCTCACCAATGCTGGACTATCTTTTCCGATACCCCGACCGATACCGGTACATTTACTTGCTAGTGTAATTGTTGGGACTGTGTTTGAAGGCCTTTGTTGCCAGCCAGTGCTGATCATCCATCAGAGGATTCGATTGAATCATTCATTGAGTCTTTCTTAGCTGCTCTGTACATGATGTAACCAACCACCCTGCCAGCGGCTGGCTATCGTGTTGTTCTGAAGGTTTCTCGTAATGGTACCGGTATCTTAAAACAAAAGTGTGAATAGTCCATGTGGGTCTATCCTTCGATGAGTCACGTCGTTCAAATCTACGTCTGGAGTCTGGAAGTAAGAACCACCAAAGTACGACAGAACCTTTCTCGTACTGAGTGGCTGCTGCTGTTTTTACCAGCGTGGATCTTTCAAGAGATACACTTCACACTTCACACTTCACACCTCGATAAGTCCAATCAGCTCTCAGCTCGCTTGCAACCTGATCGAGCTCGGCATCCCACTTTCGCGGATGTTGTTGACGGGTGCCGTGCAGGGTTGTCTCTTTGATGAGCCAATCTAAACCGGCTAGTATGTTTTCTGATGGTGCCGACCATTGAAACTGCTATTTTACCATTCGCCGTGCATGGACTGAAAATTGCTTGGAACTTGGCAACCAGCACTCACGAGCTCAATCATGGGAGTTGATGATGCACTGCTTGTTCCAATCCAATTCGATTCCCCGCTTGGAGCTCTCGGAGACATCCGACCCTCACAAGGACAGATAGCAAATTTTGTTGTAGACTGGTGTAACTTTTCTTGATACTAGTGGCCCTGCAAGTTATTCTAGTAGCGAAGACTGGCAGGGGCATGGACAGCCCAGCCATCCAAAGTAGACCGCACCGGTAGTAAAAGTGCTGTCTGCAGTAAACTGGAGAGGCTGGGCCATCATCCATCCTGGACAAAAAAGAGTAACCGTTGAAGCCTTGAGGAGATGTCTAGTACCCATAGTACACCAGTACACCTACCTCATCGCCGCAAGTTGTTTTGCTGCAAGGGAGGCGCGAAGAGGACAACTTTGGAAGTTAGGTAGATGCGGTAACGCGGTAACACTATTTCGTTTAACCCCATATTTAACTAAAAGCCACCCAACTAACGCTGTCTTTCAGGGTCCGCCATTTGTTCCATCGTTCCCACCACACCGGTAAACAGATGATGACGCCTCATGGTGGCCCTTTAGAATGAAACTGGCGAAACGTTTGGGAGATATTGGTACAGTGTAGGGGCATCAATCAATGTTGTCTGATGTTCTGAACAGAAGACCGCAGCAACTTCCCGATAAAAATACTGTGGAGGAACCAGCCCCAAGCTGGCAGAGATAGCCAGGGACAATATACAATGTCATGTAAGATTTCTCTCGTTTCCCGTTCACTGGTACCAACCAAGAAACTCTAGCTAGCAAGCTACTAGTAGCCACTAAGAGTCAATGCAGTTTCGCTCGTAAAAGAGTAGTCTAGCTAGCTAGAGTAGTTTAGTCGCAGGGAGTTGAGCAGCCATTCAATTTCCAATTTCCAACGCAAATACACTAGAGCCTACTGTACTGCTGGGAATTGTTTTCTTTAAATTCAACTTCTGCCTGAAGTGTCCATGATTCTGCCACAGGTACCGTACTGAACCTGACGCAGACATGGTTGGTGGCCCATGAATGCACCGCAATTCTACCGGTATTCACATCCAAAGCCGAAGCAACAAACCATGTATCTCATCAAAATTATTCAATCTCTGATGGATCCAACTCCGCTGATACTGCTCATAACTTGAGAGGCAATGTCTTGCAACTTGCAACAGACGCGAGTAGGAGATCTCCTATCTCCTATCCTGCGAAATGGCGAAATCGCGAGATAGAGCTCACCGGTATAAATGAAGTGAACTAGCTAGATAGATCTACCGGTAACGCGCAATGTACTGGTACGAACCGTGTTCGGATTGAATTCATTATTCGGAAACAGGACATACTCAGCTCTAGTACATAGTGCGTCGTATGCCTTGAAGTGCACTTTATCAAAGAATCTGGGTTTTCTTTGTCTTGGAGCCACTTGGCTACCGGTTACCGGTACTTGTAGCTTGAAGACTAATGAAGGCCAACGAACTTTGTTTCCCAGTTCTCCTTCAAAGCGTGTCTTGTCTTACCGATGATTTAACAGCGATAAGATGGAGTAGGGAACGATGACAAATTAAGATTTAAAGCAATGTGAGCCTGGAGTAGCTACTACTAGAAAGCTACTAATCGTAGGAGTACTGAGTACCAGTACTAGTAGAAGTTTTATCAGGGTTGCTGGTTCAATTAATATTTCATGAAATAGTTCAACTAGGGTTCACGAACCGGTTCATGAAGCGCACGTTCATGAAGAGGTTCATGGGGGGTTTGGGCCCTTCATGAACTAGGTTCAAGGTTCATCAAAACACACAATTTGGTGAACTTTTCCACATTATTGGTTCATGTGAATTCTACACCACAAATGAGGCAAGTCATGTCTAGTTAGCAAAATTTTCCTGACTTGTAACACCACCTTCAGTCCAACGATCCACCATCTACCTCTTGTGCCAGGTTTGGTGACCCACCGTATTGACTTTTGTTCTCAAATGCGAGCTTGCAGGCTGTATTTGCTAACCATAACCCTGTATTTGCTAACCATAACCCTAGGATTTGGTTCATGAATGGGTTCATGAATAGGTTCATGAGGCTGCTCAAAATTGGGGTGTTCACGAACTGGTTCAGTTCACGAGCATCGTGTTACCCGAACTTTTGTCATGAACAAAGTTCACATCCAAAATTAGTTGAACCAGCAACCCTGAGTTTTATAGTTACCGGTAGTTATAATTAGTTAGGACGAGTAGACTAGCTAGTAGCTATTTTAAAATAGATTAATAGTAGCAGAGTTGCAGAGAGCTTGTAGAGTGAGTAGACGTGTCCATGTACAGTATGTATGTGTGATATTGTTATGGTTGCATTAGCTGTTGCATTGTTTTACTCGCGGATAGTAAATAATTACTGTAATAGTGTATTACGGTATCATAGCTGTATCATGTACCTCGGCACTCGGCAATTCGTCACTTAATAAAATACCAGTAGTACAGTATACATCATACTCGTACATCTATACCGGTGGCCTGGGGCACTCAAAGTTATAACACCCATGCATACCGGTGTCCGTGTCCGAACCTGGCAACCACGAGAAGACCTTTGACCTTTACATGAGAGGGGGAATGCACCACAAAATCAAAAATTTAATGTGAATGAGGATGTCTAAGGTCTAAGATGGTCCATCTGGATTCGAGACATCATTCTAAACAGCTTTCTAAACCCATTTCAATAGCTTCCTAGTTTTGCAGGCATCCAAGCAAGGGTGGTGCTTCCGCGCAGCGGTACGTGATCTCCTGGGGTCTTGTTACCGGTAAGTGCTTCTGCTACTAGCTAGCTAGCTAGTCCATTGCAGATTGCAGCAGCAGAAGTACGCCCCATCGCTTCTCTTCAAAAACTTTCAGAGTGGTCAGCCGGATCTGGGGGCAGTGGCTGAGTGGCCCGAGGTTCGCTGCCAGTTTGTTTGTTTTCGGAAACTGAGGGAGATGTCGTTTTCTGCCTGAGGAACTTACTACTACTACTCGTACTGGTAATCGGTGGCTGCCTCTGAATTGGAAACCAGCAAACTGTCAGTTTCGCCATCCTGTTGGTTCCGTTTGATCAATTGTTGGTGCTCCCGGCTAAATCAATTCAATGGTGCGTTCAGGTATGCGCTACGGGCTACTACACTGTAGCTAGCCTGCCAGCTTAGCTACTCTAGTAATGCATAACACTGTATATACTACATGTAGTACTTTACTCAACCCTACTAGTTCCTACAATGCCAACCAAACAAGGAGTGTGATGCCAGTTGAAAGCCATGCGATACTCTCTGTGCAGCTTTTAGCAGCTGATCGACTGTACGATCTTGGTTTTGAGTGTCCACCCTGCAAGAGACAAGGGTCGGCATTGGACGTGTACCCGAGGTTAGGACAGGCGAGGCCCCATGCCTCAACAGCGGCACCGAATGCATCTGCCACGGTTTGAGCCCCGTTGCGTACTGACGGTGTCCCCTCCATGACTTCCATATTCTCGCGAATGACTTCGGCTGATTCGGAATCAGCGGCGAACAGAATAGGAAGAACCGAAAATGCAAAGACTTCCCCTAGTGCCGCCTCGACGCTATCGTTGGCATTGTCGAGCTTCTCCAATGCCACTGCATATCTCATGGCGCTTTGAATCATAGGAACTATAGCCAGTTTCTCGATTCGTTGCGCCGTTGATTCGAGATTGTCGCAATCCTTCGCGTCCAGTTCGCCCTTGCCAGCAAAGAGCAAGTCGTCCAAGTCAGAATTGACCTGAGAGTATCCCTCATCGGTAAGTGTTTGAAACTGAAAAGCGCGACTGTTTGCGAGGTTGAATATCAGTTGACCGTCAGCAATATCCGAGGAGCCTCCTTCTTGAGGCCCTTCGAGTGACCCCACGAGTAGCGCTGCAACTTCGTCCCATGGATGCATGCTCGCGTCGACCGGGTCAAAGGCAGGATCGCGGCATTGCTGCACAGTTTCTTTTACTTCAGCAATCAAGTACAGAAAGACAATCTGGAAAGCGCACGTTGCAACAATAACCTCTCGACGCTGTTCCTTGGTCTTCCATTTCCCGACACCACGAAGAGCTTCATCAACTGCGATGTCGGCGTAGTTCACTTGGTTGAAGTAGGCGACATAGTATGAATAGAGAGGATCTGCTTTCTTTCTGCAAACTGCAACAGCCAGCTCGTGCAAAGACAACAGTTCATAGACATCATTGTCACTGTCTCTCTCCTTCAGCGAGTTTCGGCCAAACTGATAGATGTACCTTGCAAAATGCCATGAATCCAGCGACGTGAGAATGCGAAGCTGCAGAATATCAAGGTCCAACTTGGCATACTGATAAGAAGGAGGAAGAGTAGAGCATTATTTTGTCAGGCGTTCGTTCTTCTGCGAATGAAATACATTTGGCTAGTAGTGACGCACCGAATGGACATTTGTCGTCGGGTAATAGCCTGCCAACGCCTTGACTGATCCCTTGTTGGCAGCACTGCAGCTGTAAGTCTCGTCCCGATACGTGCCGATGTCATCACACGTCAATCCCAAGCAATCGATGACGATGTCAATGTCATTCAAGATCTCATTCTTCTTTGCAAAGTTGACATTGCCGGTCAACAGAGCGCCATGGAGTCTCTTGTAGACGCTTGGCTGGCACTGGGATACTTGAGGTACGATAGCCATGGCATAAAGCGCCGCCAAGTCTTCGTCTTCGATCACAAGCGAGTGGATAAGCATTTGTACCAGTGGAATGTACATTTTGGAAATCATTTGCTGTGCAACGTTCCACAACTGCTGCACCCCAGTTGCATCACCCTCTTTCGTACAGGCATGCGGCAAACTGAGAACACCAGCTCCCTGCTGGTAGAGAAGCTTCAGGTCTTCATTGACTTGCGCCTCGGGGAGGTTGGTACCAAAATACTGCCCAACGTCTTGGGACAAAGCATATAGACTATGTCCCTCGGAAGAAGCAGGCGTTTGTTCTTTTCCGATCCAGAGCGCAATAAACTCATCCATTCCACCACCTCCAAGGTCTTCCAACCTGTCTGGATCATCGGCTGCCGCTCGCCTTGAACACAAATCGACCCCCTTATGTAGCACATGAGTGGCGTACATCCAGGTGTCCAAGGCAACAATCGCATCGGCAGTCAGCTCCGTCTTTGTCGTGATGGTAGAACGGATAGACCGGTCTGAGTAATGGAGGGACTTCGTGTAGTCATCTTCTGACAAGTCAGCTAGCCCGTATAGATGGAAGATGTAGTTTGGTGTGAACCCTTTTTCCTCCTCGCTCATGGTGTCTGCAAGCTTCTTCAGAGGGTAGTAGAATCCAGGGGTGTCTTCGGCATTGCGACCGTCAAGATACAGTCGCAAGATTGTATCTGGGTCTTGAGATGCCCGAATATCTCGAAGGTCCAATGCCAAATTTGCCAAGAGATCAACATTGGTGCGAGTGATAACGCCTCCGCCAAGATCTAAACCTTGCGAGAAGACTAGCGAAGGCAGGAAAAGAAAGAATATGCTTGGTTGTATCATCATCTTTGAAGCGTTCTCTGGTTCGATCTGATAATCTGATGAATCCTTCTACGTCTTCTGTGCCGGGCTCCTCGAAATACTACCACTTTAATGATGGTTGGTACTGGTGACAGTCAAGTGGACCTTGGACCTTGCCTCTGATGTTGAGCTGCATTGCTTTGGAGTTTAAGAAGAAGAGGCGTTGCGCTGACAAATTTTTGGTGCCGGATCAAAACGCTGCGGGACCCGAGTACCCAAGAGGGGATTGACAGCTCTGCTGGTGAACATCAATTTTTCCTTGCCAACTCCCGCACACTCCTCTACCGGCCTTCCACAGTTCTTTCGGCAGCATTAACCGTATCCCGTACTATCATGGGTTTGTCGGGCCTCATGTTGGATTGAGTCATTGCCCGGATTTGGTAGCTAGTTCTGAAAGGGCGCCTCACTTCCGGCAGCTTTCATGGACCACTATCACAATTCCATTGATACCGCATCCGCTACCCCAACCCTTGATTCTTATAAGATGCACCTGGCTAGCTACCAGGTAGAGTTGTGGTGTCAAGGCGGCTTCATGAGTAAATGAATATGAGTATAGTATAAATGACACTTTAGTAGTCCCAGAGCTAGCTCTAGCTAGCTACGGTACCGGTACCTGTAGCGAACGTAGACTAGCTAGAGAGAGAACTTGTGCATCGTTCGGCTTACGGGGTTGAAGCTAGCCAAGCTGGTAAAGCGACTACTTTAACTCTTATCGCACCAAGGTGCACATAGTTACGCTTGTACCGGTGGGGATACCGCCACGACCAGTGACAGCACTGACTTTTGGGTCTTTTTCTCAACAAAAACGCGAAAGAAGCAAACGGCAGCAGAAGACACTGACAGCACCACAGCACTACACCCACTGAAACTCGGTCTTCCTCTATCTTGACGAGGTCGAGCAACACATTCCTGATTGTCTGGCAAGGTGGCAACGGATGAGGCTAGTTCTTTGAAAAGAGTCCCTGAGAGCGCTGAAGAGAAGTTATTTTACATTATTGGCATTCACACGACCCCTCAAGACACTTTTATCCATTCTTGGTTTTGCTGTACCGACACCAACCATGAACAGCCAAGCTCTCAACACAACGGGGGAGACCCTCTTCTGCCTTTATGACAACCAAGCGCTGCTGGCTATGGACTCGAAGGTTGCCTCGGGTTATATCGTTTTGATGGGTGGATACCCCAAAACCCCCAAAAAGAAGAGGAAAAAGAAGAACAAGAAAAACGAAGAAAGCGAAGAGAACGAAGAAGCAGTTCCCAAATTGGACCGAGGTGCCATTAATCTAGCCTTCATGGCCCTGACAGACGGCAACGTGGTGGATGCCTGCTTTGGCGTCAAGACTCATTCTGCGGCAGGAACTGCTGGAAGCCGTGCCGCCAAGATGGCTGCTGATGCGAAGGAGCTGCTGAATGAAGCTGTGCGCTCGAGTGGTGCTGTGCGAGAGATTGCTGTCACAGCCTACGGAAAGGCGTTTCAGATTGTTCTTCAGTACAATCAGGATATTAAACATTTGAACTTTATCACGCGCTGTTACCGATGGAAACCCATTCACCAAGAGGCTGAAGAATCCCTATTCCAGGCATTCCGAGCACTCAACGAAGCCATTGACGCGGCTCACTAAGAACGAAAGAAGGAAGGTTGGAGTGGCTAGTTTAGCCTATTGTACTTATGCAAGTACTAGGCCTCTACATGCAATACACACTAGCACGAGAAGCTTGCTTGGAATACTTCCAGCAGGCAGGATTTGATGACATACTTTTTTCATGCTCCCCTCGACGGGCAGCGATGTGATGTTTACAAAGTTTTTAGCAATCTTTTGGTCGCATCTATGTTAGCGGGTAATTTCATTTGCGCACTTCGTTTGGAAGGCCTCCGAGCGATGTTGTAGACAGGAGACAATGGTTTCAGTGACGGTACTCCAGAATTTCGTTTTTGTCGACAAGGTCAAACACTCATGGGCTGCTCTTGTGACAGAACCGAGAGGCGTCAACCTTCACGGTGGAGGTACGAAACTGCTTTACTATTGGTCGTGCCGTACGGTATTGCTTAGCCCCAAGATCGTCCAAGGTTTGCCTTGGTGGAACGACAAATGTTGTCTCATTTTCTCTACATGCATTCATACCATCACGGAAAACGGTGAAGACACAGCTTTCTTTTCACGTTGGTATGTTCGTTTTCTGTTTGGGGAAAGGAGCGGACTCAGTTGAATTCCGGTATGTGCCAGGCTGAGTTCAGCTACCGGTATCTGCTTAGGAGTATATGTGCATACTTCTGAGACTCGTCATCCAGAACTCTTGCATGGAAGGTTTTCTCTGTCAAACACAGTACATGTATTTTAGCACTGTCCCTTTTTGCAGCCTTTATTTCTTGACTTCAGAGCTTTACAAGGACTTGATGCAGCTTTTTAGCAGATTGACAGCAGCTTTTGAAGCCACGGCCTCTTTTTCTCCCCGCCACGTCCAAGGCGAAGATCGGTTGGAGATCAGCTTCGATTCGGCTACTCATCGAATCGAATCGAATCCTTTCAATCTTTTCCATTGCAACACCACCGCGGGCCCTTGATCCAAGGCAACCGACAACCGACAAAGCTCGATAGTCCTGTTCTGGTATTTTTTAAATAGATTGCGAGGGTGACCATGTTTGCTGCTTTCAGCCTTGAAGTGGTGATGGATGGGTACAAGGAGGAGAAAAGTAATAAGAGTTCCTCTCCTTCCACGCTGATTGCCACAGCCTGTTCGGTTCGAGTCTCTAGAGAACACCACGATGATCCTCGCTCCCAGCAGTTTCTGGCTGTGATGGTGCCTCACACCATGGTGGAGTCTTCCCTGAGACGCACAGTCTTCGATCGCTCCAACAACAAGAAGAATATTTACCCAAGAAACTCCAAGTGCCTCTGGCTTGCGCACACCGATCGAACCAAACTTTCTCGAGATCTTCTCCCCAGACTTCATCCCATTTTCAATCGTACGGGGACAGCGAGTAGTAACAACAATAGTGGTACCTCATCTAACAAGAGCAACAAGACAAGCAATAATAACCATCAATCAACTCGAAATGCCGGAGATGAGGGCACGAGCTTGGCGATCCGGGCTATATTCACTACCTTGGGCACTGGCCAACAATCACCAGCAGATGTTGTCTTACTCGATATCACGCCTCCCTCCTCTTCTGCCGCCGGCAGAGACAAGAAGGTATTGAGCCCCAGCGAGATACTCCAAGCTGTCAATGGCGACTGCATATTGGAAGAGCCCAATGCAATCTTGAAGGTTCTTATCATCTCCAATGTCCATATAGCTTCTTCTCCTATGAATCTACTGGCATCAGATGCTTCGTTGGAGGTACCTCTATGCCCTGTGTGTTTGCATCGGATTAGCCCCGCTCGATTGGGACTACCAAAGCCACTCAATCATCATTTATGCAGCAAGTTCTGCCCCACAACAACAACAAACCACAGGCCAGGCATTGCAGCCGCCTTGGTCAACAGTGATGCCACCGCGGAAACATCCATGGGTTGTCCCAAGCAACGCTTTCTCAGCCCATGGTCGGAACCATCCAATTGCATTGCTTGCCGAGTTATTCGCGATTACCAAACTGTGGGTGCTGGAACACATACCATGGCATCAGTCTACTGCAATCAACCAAAATGCGCCCTTCACAAAACGCTCTGGGTGTGTTTGACCTGTGGGTTTTGCGGTTGTGGGCGATATTCCAATAAACACGCCGAAGCTCATTTTCTCGAATCGGGGCACAACTATTCACTCGAGTTGGCAACGTTGCGGATTTGGGATTATGTCAATGGAGAGTTCGTTCATCGAGGAGATCAACTAGAGTGTCCGGCGGGGAGACAGCAGAGAGCGAGGGCGATGCAAATACAACAACAAATAGCAGCGTCACTGGGTGATGCGGCCACTGTTGTTCCACCGGCGGCGGCGCCATGGGAGCAACAACAGCCCTACTACTGGGATCATGGAGATGAGAAATCTCCCAAAAAGGCAATCATGATCGGCGAAGAGTATGAAGCTCTTTTGCAAAGTGCATTGGAAGAACAAGCACAGCATTACGAAGGAGAGATATCACGGTTGAGAGCAGCCCTGACAGCTGAACAAGTAGATATGGGCAGCTTGACAAAAGAAGAACTGGAAGAGATTGCAAAGCTCAAGTTGGAAATTGCCGAATTCAGAGGCGAGCTCGATGTCGTCGGTCGCGATCTGGTCGATGTGCAGGCTCAGGAAGCAGGATTGAGGGCAGATTCACAGCGGTTGCTGAGGGAACAACAAGTTGCACATGACCTCTTAAAAACAATCCAAGAGGAATCAAAGCGTGAGGTAGAACAAGGCAGAACACAGATGGAAGAATTGGATCAACAGATTGCTGACTTGACAGCCAATTTACGCATGCGACATCAGTTTTCACAGAATCAAGAGTTGACCAATGCGGATATTTTTGGAACCACAACAGATCCTGGAAGGGCTGCTAATAAGAAGGGAAAGTTGCGACGCCTTTTCCGAAAGTAAAGAGAATCTAGATTGGAATGATGTGCTCTGCTGTTTTTCATTTGGGGTAGCAGATCCGTACGATTACTTTGCTGCAAGTCGATGGTATGTTATGGTTTGCTTGTACCGTAGCTTTATCATGGCTATATATATTATAGCTGAGGAACCATTTCCATCTAAAGTGCCAAGTCTAGGCGAAGATAGACATCGCCACCCGAAGCCCGAAGAACATAAAGGAAATGAACAGGAGATTGCGATAGTCAGCAAAAAAGCGCAGGTTGATACGGAATCCATCTGCTTTGTCTCGTCCAAGCTTATTGTTGAGCCAGTCCGAAATGGCAATGGTGACAGGGACAAGGATAGGAATTTCATGACTGGTTCGACGTGCCCGCATCCGATCACCAACGAAATGAACATCTGATGGACTCAGTTTCAAATTCCCTGCAATTAGTTGCTTTCGCCCTTCTGCAGTGAGATACCCTTGAGCGTCACGCAACGCCGTGGATTTGGATACGCCACCACCAGTCGCCGAGGCAGCTGTTCCTGCCTTGGAAGAATCCGACGATGTGACTTCATAGTCGATTGGAAGTCCAACGATCACCTTGGCACGTTCGACCAATGATTGTATTGCGATCTCATCCCCACTAACAACCCCTTGACCGAGCAGTCCCTGCAGAAAGGCTTCAAACTTGTCCAGTGCGCCAAGATTCTGGACTGTTTTCAGGTGTTGCATGTGTATCTGTAACGTTGATGTGAGAGGCAATCCAAGCCTTCAATATTACTGAATAGGGCTCCGGAATTGGCTTACCTCCTCCAACAAACTTTGCATATCGGCTTGGCAAGTAGACAGGAGCAAGTCCCCAGACTTTGTGGGTGCATATTCTCCAAGGTTTTGTTGATGATTGGCAACCATTTGGCCCAGAGCATGAACAGTTGGATTTGGAAGATTCGTGTAGCCCGTGAGTTCGTTCAATGCACTAATCACATCAGGGGTGAACACACGAAATACTCGTTTCACAAGCGTACGCGAACGAGCCAACTCTCGCTGGGAAAAATCAAGTTCACGGGCTCGCCGGAGGAAGATGGCGAGGGGAACAGTGTACAAGAACAAGTTGGCAGCCAGATAGGGCTTCCAGTCATTAGTGTACACACTCTTGCGCTCTGCGGTGGGACACATCAGAGGCGAGGAAGATTTTTGTGCACTTGTTCGACCAAAAGTACCCGTGATTCGAGCCGAAGCATTTTGCCCCTTTGGGACTGAAATATTTTGCATTGGGAAGAACAGATGGGAGGGGATTGATCAGTGCAAGCAATCGAGGATACACCACTGATTGCCACAAGACTTACCGTTCACATTCCATGGCTCTATCCAAATGAGCCAAGCGTTCAGAGCGGTATAAAAAACAGAGCCAGAATGATGGATCGAGGCATGACGAAAGGTTGTCCGTACATAGTTGTAAAACGATTCCTGCACAACAGTCATGGGCTGGCTTACGCACCAACCGCGAGCAATGGAGCCTTGATCAAAGACGGAGAGGCGAATGGTTGGATCTGTAATGAGGTGAACCACAAGGCTGCGTAGGCACTTCTGAGACAGCTTAGGAATTTGTTCAAATTTCCCTGCTGTGAGGTCATACGCCATGTTCAAATCCATCGACGGTGTTTGGTGAATTCCAGTCCTTTGGGAACGCTCAAGAATCACTTGCGTAGCTTTGTTTGTGGTAAGAAGGCTGCCATGTGACTCAAACCAAAAAGCAATGATCGAACGTAGGAAGAACTCCGATTTTGCCTGTTCCGTAGAAAACCCTGGAGACACAGTGGGAGCCCTCGTTTGAGGAAGGAAGTATCGCATGTACCGCTGGAACAAGGAGCAGTAAACTTGTTCCCCATATGGGGGGGAATTCCGGGTAACCATTCCTCTCATGTGATAGGGTCCGATTTGAGCCTGTGTTTGAACTTGACGGTTCATTTGTGGGGCAGCAAGAGGGTACCGAAGGAACAGAAAACAGTAATACTCTAGCATGCTGAGATAAATACTAGGCGCGTCATCCTTTTGAGGAGTTCTCGCTCCCGCTCCCGCTGAAGGAGACATTGCACCAACAGAATGTGGCGAGGCAAGGCCAGGGCTGAGCTGAAGAGGTTGTGATTGATCCCGGGCCTTTAGCTTCTTCTGTTGATATGCCACAATTTTCTGTTGTTGGTCTGGAGGCACACGTAGAAGGGATCCGAAAAGCCGCATAGAATTATTGCTCACAATAATTTGCTGGGCAACGGGATCGGCAGGATGCCCCATGCTCAAGGGCATGTGAGGGTTGGGAGTGATCCCAATCAGGAGCCTTTCAAGAACGGCAAAAAATTGTTGTTGCATGGGTTGGGGCAATGCGAAAAAAGGAAACCCAAAGTATCCTGTTTGTCGTGTGGCCATCCCCTCTGAGATGGTGTCAACCAATGAGATGGCGGGATAGTTTTCATTTTCCTTGTTGCCAACTCTGCTTGAAGACCGTGGAACCGGCCCCAACAGCTGCACCACCGGATCTTGGTCAATTGTTGACAGTGGTGATCGCTTTACAGACCGTGGTGGACCATAAGAAAGCTGGGGCTGCATCGTAGACCCGAGGGAAGGAGTCTTCCATCGTTGCTCCGCAGACAGCCAACCATCAGTTTGGTGTTTATATCCCGACTTGTTGTCTTGCATCATTTCCCCAAAAACCCGAGTGCACAGCGGCAAAAAGAGCTGGTAGAACCGCTCCTCTGACGAGGATCCTCCATTGACCAAATCTGAACGAATGAAGGAGAGCATTGCCGTGGCAACCTCGGCCGGATGCTTGTTGGGGTCACGTAGAGCCTCTTCTAACATGGTCTAATCTCTCACTTCTCTGTGGATGCTCAAAAGGTGGAAGATCAGCAACAAGAAGCAGGCAATGCAGCAAGAGGACAAGGACGATCACAACAGCAAGCCTTCACTTCGATCAATGCGTCGAGTTAGGAAGCGAAGGTGCCTCCTGAAGCTAAACCGAACGGTCCTGGACGTCAAGCAGCTGGGTCGTTGGGTAACAACGACGTAACCGTTACTAGTATCAACGGTTTTGGATTTTCAACCTTTTTTCACCGAGTTTCGATTTTATTCTGGGTTTCCTCCAAAAATGGTGATAAAATCAATTTATTACAGGGTTTTCGAAATCCAATTGAAAGGGGCTTTGAGGAAAATGAATGAAACAAGTAAGAAATACTAGTATCTATTTGAAAAAATAAAATTAGTTGTTTTTGGAACCACTGGTACGGTACACAGAGTACGGTACGCAACGCTACGCTACCGTATGATTCGGAAGCTTGTTATGTTGAGAGTTGAACGAACACTTTTGTTTTCAGGCTCTCGAAGAGCAAGAGATGAAATAGAAAAACCAACCTGGATCTCAATAGCTTCTCAATAAATTAAGACGCAGTGCTAATGGATTGTCTACAAGCCCCTCATAGCCCTATTCTAGCAGCTATGCATAGCAACCAGTACCGATCAATAGATTGTGCGCCTGTGCACGTGGTTGGACGAGCTGTTGAGGCGCATTCCGCAGGTACCTGCGGCAGTGCATCAACTTTCATCGTCATACATGTACTTGCAAAGCCGTTCTACAAGCGCCTGCTCTTCCTTCCATCCCTCTTCATTTCCCGTATTCTTCCACTCCTCCCAGTCCAAATGAAACTCAACAAAAAGTTTGCCGCAGGCGAGATCATAGGGATCTCCGAAGCAGTACTGTTCCCAACCATCCTTGTTTGGATTTGGATTCCCTTCTTCGTTTGTTTCGCTCGTCGAGTCACAGTCATGCAGTACACCAAAGAAGGCCTTCTTTCCGCCCGATGGAGGTCTGCGGTTTTGTGCTCTCATCATCTTGACAAAAAGGCTCCAATTCTTCATGTGCTCTTCGGAATAATGAGTATGCTTTTTCAGGAAGGCTTGCATGTGTTCGTCTGGCAACCAATTTTTCATCATCAGCTGATACCCTTCATTCTGAAAATCCGGCAGCTTATCCCCGTCTGTTCCAAAGGGAAGCTGATTGTGAACATTGTAGATCTCGTCTGCTTGTAGTTTTTCTTCAAGCAACACAACGATACTAGGATTTGTTCCTCCACCTTTCTCTTTGTCGACATACGGTCAGCAGCGATCAAACGCAAAGGAAAGTGCCCACCGAAGCCGTCCCTTATAGCAGTAGACTCCTGGCCCCAAATCGTGTCGTCCCCCCCGGAAATTCTCAGATGGAAGGAGACCTTGATCCCTCCATAATATTTGCTCTAGCGTTGATCCCGTGGTCCCTAGCATGAAGAGATCGTCACGAGGCAGAAGACTTTCGGCGGTTTCAATGCTTTCTCGAAGATTGCACTCCACGCCGTTCTTCTTCACCTTCAAACCGGCGTATTTGATTTTCAGTTTCTTCCACAATTCCACCTCTTCGACAACCGGAGTCCCATCATATAAAATGCCATTGTTCTTTCTCTTCGCCGTTTCGACAATGCGTCCATCTGTAGGTTCGTGTACGGGCTGGCCAAACGGATTGGTGACGTTGATGTTGCCGATGAGATAGTAGAGAGAATCGAGAGCACTTGTTTTGCCCGGGCTTCCAAGTTCAGCTTCTACAGCTCGATCAAAGAGAAACTTGCTCTGTACAAATTCTGTCCTCATCCCAAGCGCAAGGTAGAGCGCCGCTGCATGCTGCCGTTTCATCAACTCTGGAAACAGTTTTGAATCCTCTAGCCGCTGCAATTTGGTCCGAACATGTTTCGTCAAATCAGCTCGGATCTTTGCAATTCTCTTCCAATAGCCATCTTGGGCTAAAGTGACCACTTCTGACTGCGGGATCGACATCCCGAAGTAGGGAAAAATGTAGCTATCTTTCTCGATGGTCTCCTGGGTTTTCAAAAATGTCGAGTGGTTTTGCCCTCTCTTGGGAACGCTCGTCTGTGCATCACTATAGTTTTCAGCTACATCAGAGTGACAGTCACAGCTTCCAGAAGGCACTAGATCTGGGACTTGATTGTCCGCGCCTGGCTTTGTTAGTGCCGCCGAGGATGGAACGGGACTTGGAATGCCTTGTTCTAGGCCGTCGTCGAAGTCCTCAGATCTAGAGAACGTGTCTCCGCGATATGGTTTGTCCAGCATTGGAAGTGTTGGCAGTGTCGGCAGCTTATCGTGGCGGCGAATGCATCGGAAGAAGTAAAGGCAGATGATAGAGCAGAAACCAAGCCTTAGAACTTTAGACGCCACGGCTTCCACTGCCCATGTGAAGACGAAATCGTCCATGGTGGGAACAAACGAGGAGAACAAGCAAACAAGTAAGACAATGACAACAACCAACCAGTAGAAGCTTCGAATGCGACAATGCGACACACGCTGGCAATCTCCAGTCTCTCAAATGGAGGTTTTTGGTCTGCGCTCCAAAAGAATGCGTCGCAAATCGCAAACACACAGGGTGAAACCCGGCCACCTTCCACGCTGGCAGCAGCGTGGGATCGCAGATTTAAGGGTAAGGTTTGAGGACAAAACCACAGTCAGAATGGCAGTTGGGAGAAACAGGCGAGCACAATACCGGTAACAAGGTGCCCTCCGGGTGCGCCAATCCAGTCCTTTCAGTGGTGTCCACCAGCCTTTTCTTAAAGGCAAGGGTGCACAGCAAGGCCCTTTTCCGTTCATTTAATTAAAAGCACAGCACAGCATGGCACAGAGCACAACCAAGAAGCAACGTGGCAAGTACCTTCATAGGAGACATTGGAGTGCAGGACTGCAGGACCGTCCGCCGGTTTTTGCTCAGGCTTTAAAAACTGCCACGACTGACTCAAAATCCTGGTTCTGGTTTTACTAAGAGGATGTAAGAGGATGTGAAGATTTAAGAGAATGTTTAAGAGGATGTTGAGTATTTAAGAGGATGTTGTTAAGAGGATGTTTATTTAAGAGGATGTTCAGTCGTGATAACTTTAAGTCCAGCTCATCATTGCGTTAAGCTAGCTTAGTTTATTTTAAATACATTGGCTCTATTCTGAGTATGTATTGATAAACAAATTCGTTGATTTCTTTGCAGGTTATTCCTTCAGGTGTTACTAGAGACACTTCACAACCGCGTCCACTGCAATGGTAGGAGGTATTCAACAAATGCCAAAACTCAGCAGTTGTTGTCGTGTCAGACCAAATGCATCCTGTGGCCATCGCTTCACGGTCTTCTGGAGTGCTGGAGGCAAACACTTCGGTTGTTCGTTTGCCTGATGCTCGGTCTTCCTCGCGATACATTCCACGGAGCTTTGCTAAGAGTTTAGGCCATGAAGCTTGGAAGACAGGAATGGGAGTTTCGTTCCTGAACTTGTTGGAGAAGTAGGTCTTGACGTCAGAGCTACAGGTATTGCATCGCCAATCCTCTTGAGAGGCGCGGTAATTTTGGATTACATTGGTGCTTTGCATCAATGCCCATGTAGGTTATGAAGCAGCCGATTAGCGCGCTCCACCATTCAAAGATCTTCTTGTTGGACTTCTGTCGGGGGACACCGTGGTAAGGGATGGCTTTGGCCTCCACCAAATCGACACCTACAATAACTTCTTGAAAGGATCAGGGTAGATCCACAAGAGATGAGGATGGCCACAGGGCCTCCTCTGCTTACAGAGTTTCCAGCTCCTAGAGCTGGTACCGATGTTATTCTATCACGATGCTGGTCAGCCTAGCAAGCGCTGTCAGCTTACCTCTTCAATGCCTACTGCTCAGCCTCAACAGGATGGGTATCTACTGCAAAGGAACAAGGGAGCTTCAGGTCTAGATGGTATCAATATCAACACTTTACTTCTTTAGACTATGAGCAAAAGCATGCATCCAAATAATTGGGTGTTATGCAGGAATCATCACTCTGAGCCACACTGAGGCTCCTGGATCCTCCTGAGGTCACCTGATTGAGTAGATGCTCGCCTCATGGCCATCTGGGGTGATACTGGACCTCTGTGGAAACTCGAGTCGTGCTACTTTTCGTCTCCTAAATCCTTTTGATCGTCTCCTATTTAATGGATTTCGTCTCCTAAAAATAGGAGACGAAACGGATCGTCTCCTAAATCTTTTGTCTCCTCTTAAAACATCTCCTATTTTCAACGGATCGTCTCCTATTCTCAACGGATCGTCTCCTAAGTGTACCATGTAAACTGTATGGTATCGTCTCCTAAATCTTTCGGATCGTCTCCTATTTCGAAACGATCGTCTCCTAATTGGAATGTCTCTTACTGAATCGTCTCCTAAATATAGGAGACAATTGCTTTCGTCTCTTAAATCATTTCGATCATCTCCTATTTCTCGGTGTATCGTCTCCTAAGTATTTTGCCACGAATGACGTTTCCACAGAGGTCCAGTGGTCAAAACCTTCATATGGGACCATATGGGGCTTCCCTGGTCCCATATGTATGGCCTATGTCTTACCAGTACCAACCAAGATTCTCTATATCTTTGCTTGTTCCACATACCATGTGGGTACCAGTAACATAAGACAGACAGTTTGTTCTCACACTCACCACGTTGATCCCATGGATCCAACCCACATTTTATCGCTCCCCTCCATCGGATTTCATCCGGGGTGAGGGTGTCCAGGTTATTCCCTTTCCAGAACATTACTGCTCGGAGCATTGGCTAAATCTGAGAATAACTCCATTGCTTCGTGAGGATGTCAGCTGGGTTGATTTCTCCTGGCATGGGATGGAAGGAGATGGTCCCCGCAGCGATGCTTTCCCTAACAAAATGGTAGGCAAGTGCATGATGCCTTTTCTTGAGCGGTGAGTGGGGCTGTGTCGAGTTTGTGCAAACGGACCCATTTTCTCCGAACATGTATGTGGGGCCTTGCCCTGGAACACCAAGTTGGGGTTATTATGTGATACGGGGCAGCTGGCGTGCTTTGTTGGGGCTATCTTTGCAGGATTCTCTTTCCT